AAAAAAAAAAAAAAAAAAAAAATTAAATAAATAATATATTTAATTTTTTTCAGAAATTAGAATAAAGTTGAGACATAATACAATTATTCGAATATTCATATCATTTCTAAATATTTATTTAATATTAAAAGAGAATAACTAATTAAAATAGAATTACATCAATTGACATAAATTAATATAATGATAATTAATAGTAATGAAGAATTTATTTCATATCAATAAATAACTAAATAAGATTAAAATAATTTCATATTAAAAAAATATAAATCAACGTTTTTTTTTTCTTGTGTATGTGATGTAATAAAATAAATAATATAAATAAGAGAGTTAAACGTAAGTAATAAAAACGTCGTGGGACCTACAAAATAAGAAATGAGAATAGGATCGTTAAAAGTTTACGAGAGAAATGAGATTCTCAAAGTGCTCGATGAGTCTCACCAATTGATTCTATGCATTTTAGTCGGTAATGAAAATTTTAATTCTTATTCTTTGATTCCCATTCTTAAAAGTGAATGATGTTATGATGTTTTAAAAGTGTTGAATAAATTTCTAATTTTTTTTAAAAAAATTGATTTTCTTTTATATATATTAAAGTCTAAAATTTTGACTATTCTTATCGGACAGATTCACTCGACCCTACTACATATCTTGTCATCAAAAAAACTCGTGAGCCATTAAAATTTTGGGTAACCAATTACCATAGCTAGAACCTCTAAAATTGAAGTCTAAAATTGTATTGTTTTAGTAGATTCCTTTCGGTTATTTTATGTTTTTTATAGACATAAAGCTGAAAATTGAACGACTCCAATTGAGACATGTATATATGACCTTACCATCTAAACCCGATTGAGAAAACCCTAATTGAGTCATTTAAACTATTAGGTGAAAAACTGAGTTTACCCTACCGAGAAAACTCAAATCGAGTCATTTAAACTATTAGGTGAAAAACTGAATTTTACCCTACTCAGAAAACCCTAATCGAGTCATTTATACTATTAGGTGAAAAACTGAGTTTATGTTTACCTACCGATAAAACTTGGGTCGAGAATAGGTAAAATTTGATAAATTTGAAACATATATTCAGTAAAAAAACACACAATATAATTTAGAGTAAAAAGATCGAACATTCGCTTTTAACTAAATAACTCAATTACGATACTTTAAAAAGCATCTAAGAGACGGGTAAAAACTAAAAGATTGGAAGAACCCATTGACTTTAAACTAAAGTTTAATATTAATAATAAGAATAATATATTTGGATAAATGGAAGATGGTGATTGGTACATATTTTGGAGGTATTAAATTGAAGTGTGAAGAGTGGAGAAAGATATAGAGGGTTCTACTGCCCCCACGCCCTCAGCCCCACCGCCATTATCTCATCTGCATCTCTGCATCTCTGCATCTCTGCATCTAGCTTCCCTTCCTTTTTTTAATGGCTTGGAAATTGAGTGCCACATATTAAAAAAACAATTGTAGAGATCAAGCTTGGATTGTTGAGTTCATTCATTAACAACTGCCCAGAAACATTTTGAATGCTCCAATTCTTGATTCGAGTTAAGATATGGTATGTTTTGCATGCTCTACTTTTACTGCTTTTTGCTGGTTTTGAGTCCACCTAGCTTGATCATGTATGAGTGTGATTGAACTTAGATTCTTGTGGAGAGATTCCACGATGGTTAGAGAGGAACAAAACATTTTTTATAATGATATGAAAATCTCTCCTTAATAAACGTGTTTTAAAACTGTGAGGTTCCAAAGCAAACAGTATTTACTAGCGGTGGGCTTATGTTGCTATAAATGATACAGAGCTAGACACTGGACGGTGTGCCAGCGAGAACGCTAGGCTCCCAAGGGGGTTGGATTGTGAGATCCCACCTCAGTTGGAGAGAAACGAAACACAGGCTCATTTTAAAACTTTGAGGCTGATGATGGCGATATGTAACGGGCCAAAGTGGACAATATCTGCTAGTAGTCGGCTTGAGTTGTTACAAATGGTATCAGAGCGAAACACTGACTAGTGTGTCAGCGAGAACGCTGGGCTCCCAATGGGGTGAGTTGTGAGATTCCACATCGGTTGGAAAAGGAAACGAAACATTCCTTGTAACGATATAAAAATCTCTCCCTAATAGTCACATTTAAAAACTGTGAGGCTAACGGCGATACGTAACAGACCAAAATAGACAATATTTGCTAACGATGAGATTGAACTCTTACAAAAAGAGAAGCGTTACAAAAATAAAATAATAAAAAGTTTAAATTTGTATCAAGGGATTATATAAGGAGGATGGAGATTTTCGAATCTCACCTCCAATGTCGAACGTAATCTCTCTTGTACACAATCTTACTTGCATAAATTACGCTAAAATAGAATGAAACGAAAAGAAATATGAACAAGAGTATAACTCAACAGTAATTAACATGTATTTTTATATTTGAGATCGAAAGTTCAAATCTTCATACCATACATATGTGATACTAAAAAAACGTAAATAGATAATATATATATATATATACCCAGATTGACACGCGACTTCACTCACAACATTCAACCGTACCTAGTTTTGTTCGTAAAATTTGATTAAGAAGTTTCCATTACAAAGAAATTGGGAGAAAAGAAAAGAACAAATTCTAAACCTTAGATAGGAAGAGAGCTTTGAGACGTCAATTTGTTTGTTGTTTTTGGACATTCGTAATGACTTGGCCAAATTGAAGCCACAAAGCCACAAGTTATTTTTTGTAAAGAAATAAAGGAGTGATGAGCCTAATGAATGGCCTGGAGAAAGGAACGAGTCTTATGCATTAAATTTTTAATTTAAAGGCCCAAGGAAGAAGAGAGATACAGTTCCCCTTATTGCAGGGAATTTGGGTTGGGATTTGGACATGAAGAGCTGCAGGAGAGGGCCCCCGTTTGTATTTTAAGACATGCACTCATCTTATCTTTCTCAATATGTTGGTTGTTGTTTGTGTATAAGTTTCATTCCCAAAATTAATCGCTACACCTTGCCATGTTTGGTGTGACGATTGGTTCTAAATTTGTGTTGTTACGAGATTGTGAAGTCTCACATCGATTGAAAAAGGAAAGAGTGTCAGAGACAATGCTGGGCCTCAAAGAAGAGTAGATTGTGAGATCCCGCGTCGATTGGAAAGAGAACGAGTGCAACGAGGACGTTAGTCTCTGCAAGGGTGAATTGTGAGATCTGACATCGGTGGGGGATGGAAACGAAACATTTTTATAAGGGTGTGGAAACCTCTTTCTAGCATACTGCATTTTATCTAAAGAAAACAATATTTATTAGCGGTGGACTTGGGTTATTTATTGGTCGATTTCTCGACTAGTTCATTATGTAAAAATACATTTTTTTTATCCATGAAATTTAGAATAAGTGTATATTTGATCTCTAAAGTTTCATACCGTTAAGATCGCACACACTCGATCTAGATGAACATAAAGAGCATGATAGAAAAAAATGCAACTAAAAAACATTCATTTACAGATGTGTTGTGCATTTGAGTGTGGACAGAGAGTTTTGGTTGTCCTACGGTTCAGCTGCTACCTCATGATCTGCCTTCTTACCCCACAGCACTAAGTACAGGCCCAGATGATAAAGAAAGCTCCTACCAGGCTTCATAACGCAACAGTTTCAGGCAACACCTTCAATTCAATACAAACATAGTAGGAAGTGAGTGGGTTACCTGCCTACATGAGGCCGCTCTGAGAACACAAATGCTGAGAATATGGCCACAAATATCAGCATTAGGGGATTGAACATTGAAGTAAAAACTGGCCCGTTGCGCTGATGCACCAGGTTTGTACGAAATACCCCACGCTTGAAATCACAATGTCCTATATACAAATATTGTCGTCGGTCTCACGATTTTAGAAAGCATTTAATAGGTAAAGATTCGAAGATAACACACACAAATAGAGAAATGGTACAAATTGAAAACCTTGTATTAATATATAAATAATAATACTCATACAAAATCCCAAAGCAGGGACGATCGATCGAGGTAGAATAAGGAATTGGACAAAGATGTTGAGATATTAAAAAATATATTTAGTTCTGGAATATATCTTAGATATTATATCTTTTATTTATGATTTGATTTAGAGTTATTTTATTCTCTGTATTTAATTATTTTATATTTTCCTCATTTTTGTACTTCTGGTAAAGGATATCAATATCAATTATAATATACACTTTTCCAATTCTATTTTCTATTCTATTTTCTATTTTTATTTTTTAACATGGTATCAGAGCACCGATCTTGATATTCCTAATATCAGAGCACTGATTGTGATATTCCTAATACCCCCTTGGACTTTGAGTCCAAGGGGAGTATTAAACCTAAAGTCAAACCCTAACTCAATCAGTGAAGCCTTTATAGTTGCCGATCATCCAATATCAAGAATACGTTATAAGCATCTTCAAATTTCTCACCAAGCTCAAAGGTGACATATTCAAGATGTTTGTATTTTCTTTCACAACCTCTCAAGTGATCCAGAGCATCGATCTTGGTGTTATTATCCAATAAATCATTTATGCATGGACCAAAAAGTGATCAGGGAGGATATTCACTTGTTTCAAATCAAATTAAATGGGACAAGTTACTAATCCTCGAGTCAATCATTGTGGTATATTTTTGAGTTTTGCATCTTTCTTGAAAATTCAATAATTTCTTGAAAGTCTAAAAATGCAAACCAATCAAACGCGGTCTATTTTTTGGTTTTGCATCTTTCTTGTAAATTCGATGATTTCTTGAAAGTCTAAAAATGTAAACCAATTAAAGGCGGTCTATTTTTGACGGATATTTTCACCATTGTGAAGACAAAAGTGTTATTGACCTACACTCTCTTCTCAAAGACAACTCGGGTGTTATTGACCTACATTCATAAAGACAAGTTGGATGTGATTACAAGCAAATTAAAACAGTAATGGTCAATTGTGCTGGGTATTTTCTAGTGACTAATGTCTGCAAGCCATTAAGATTGGATGAGCATATTGTGTCGCACCACATTTCTTTGCATAAAAGAAGACTTTGAACGAACTTACCAGTAAAATTAGCCATCCACTCCAAGCAACCTCACTTACAAGAATTAAAGCCCAGCCCTTTATCCAATCCTCGCCACTGCTATGTCCAGAGCCTTGATTCTTGTACACGTCTATGAGTGGCTCCTTGAAGATGCCTTTGGTTACGTATGGTCCTTTCCAAAACGTGAAAACAAAGGAACCACCGATGCACAGAATCGTCCCCAACCCTTTTAGCACCACTCTCGCAGTTCTGATATTCACTCTCTCCAATCTTTGAATATTTTTATTAATTTATACGGAAAAAGAATAGGCACAGTACCGAAACAGAATAGCCATGACAAATGTCAAGCTCGGAATGATGTTACTGAAAGTGGAAGTTACTATAGGCGAAGTATAGCTAATTCCAGCGTAGAATAGATTCAGGTGGATCGTTGAGCCTAAGATTGCAAGCAAAAAGATGTTTATCGTCATCGAAATTGTGAGAGAAGTCCATTTGTTTCTATACAAAGCCACCATATAATCAACCATTAAGCCAACTCGGTAAACTGTAGGATGATTCAAACATTTTGATTGCACCTGTCGATGAGATAAGCAAAAGGAGCCAAGACGAGGAAGGCTATGAAATGGCGAAAAACGATGAAGACCAAAGGATTAAGATCCTTGTCGCTAGCGATCTTCTCCAGAATGTGGGATCTGCCATACGCAATATACACCAACACCATTGCTGCACACGGCGCAAACAGCTTCCTCATTGACACTCCCGCAGTTGCCATAGCATTTTCCCTTTTGCGTCCCAAATAAACCACAAGAGATTTGTGATTTATGTATCCAAATTTTAAATCTTAGGACATAAATTATTATAAATGATATCAGAGTCGTATCTATCTCTGTAGTTTTAAGATGAATAAGGATTACTAATAGACATATGACATCCAAATAAAGAAAGGTTATATTAAATAAATTGAAACCGTAAATGATAGCTATTATATTAAAAAGTGTTTGTGAGTTCTATTTGCTCAATAAATCTTTAAAAATACAAATTGGGTCGATGAAATTTCAATTTTTTTATCTAATGATGAATAGTATGAACAGCTGTAAAGCAACTTTGATTTATGTGTTAAATTTATTTTTCTTCGGTCGATAAAACAAATGAACACACTTTACTAAAGTATTCGATCTTCAATGACGTGACATAAATTTAATTTTTTAATGACAAATTATTTCGAATACTAAGGAGATAATGGTCATCAAGTAGTATATTTGATTAAAAAGGGTTAATTACAGTTAAGATGTTATTATTTACTTATATACCTATGAATAGGGGCTTGAAAAAGAAATGAAAAACTAGGTTGAGCATTCTATCAATTACTTTATTTATTTCATCTCTCATGCCATCCAATTTTCTTTTAATATCTTACCTTTCTATAAAAAAATAAAAAAAAGATTGATATTAGAATTTCGAATATGAATTCGGCACCTAATGACTCATCGTTCTCCTGTAACATGGTCGCGTTACTTACTTCTTGCTTTTAAGAATGAAGATTATATCTACAAACCAACATGAGTCGTCACCCAATCTAGAATTGTTCAAATACCACACCTCACATTTAGCATTTGCGACTAAGGAGTTTTCATATCGTATTCAATTTTAATTTGTGATTGGCCGAATTTTCCCGTTGAACACGTATCATTAACCATTACAAAAACGTGTTATTAAATTTCTACTTTTTGCATTTGTATATGAAATAAAAGATTCATGTTCTCGTTTATGTTACACAACCCTTTACTTGGCTATCATTTACAGATGTATTCTGCATTTCAGTGTCAACAAACACCTTATCTTTCTCCTGCGGTTCAGCTGCCACCACATGATCTGCCTTCTTCCCCCACAGAACCAAGTACAGACCCAGTACGATAAAGAAAGCTCCTACCAGGCTTCATAGCGCAACAGTTTCAGGAAACAGCTTCAGTTCAATACAAACATAGTAGGAAGTGAGTGGCTTACCTGCCCACATGAAGCCGCTCTGAGAACACAAATGCTGAGAATATGGCCACAAATATCAGCATCAAGGGGCTAAACATTGAAGTAAAAACTGGCCCGTTGCGGCTGATGCACCAGGTTTGTAGGAAATACCCCACGCCCGAAATCACTATGCCCTGTACACTCAGCATCATTATGTATACCCATAATGAGGAGGTTCGAGTTCTAGTATAACAGCTCAAGCTCATCACTATATATTGCCCATTTTGGGATTCCTCTCAAATTTTTTAAAACTAGTTTACTAGGGAGAAATTTTCATACTTTTATAAACAATGTTTCGTTTTCCTCTCCAAACAAATGTAGGATCTCATACTTACTCCAAATAGGACAATATTTGCCAGTGATGGGCTTAGGCCATTACAAAAATAGTATAAGAGGCAGACATAGAAGGCTGAGCCCCGAAGGGTGGACACGAGGTTGTATGCCAGCAAAAACGTTGGGCCCGAAGTATGGTGAATTAGGGGTCCCACATAGATTGGAGAAAGATATGAGTGTCAAAGACGCTTGGTGGATTATAAGATCTCACATCAAATGGAAAGGAGAACGAAACATTCTTTGTAAAGGTGAGGAAACTTTTTCTATCCGACTTGTTTTAAAAACTTTGAGGGAAGCTCAAAAGGAAAAGGCGAAAAAGCACGATATCGACTAACAATGAACTTGAGCGGTTACATCTCAATAGACTATACTCACACTGTATACGATGGTTAATAGCCGTGCATCCCATTGCAGCTTCCATTTTTCTGGATCTCTAGCAAAGATCAAGGCAAGGAAGCCAGATTGTGCAGTTGCAAACAAGCAAATCAACACAGTCATGGTCAATTGAGCTGGGTATTTTCTGGTGACAAATGCCTGCAAGCCAAGCCATTGAGATTTGATGACCATATTTCATTTGCTTCCATAAAAGAAGAGTTTGAATGGAGTTAGTTACCTGTAGAATTAGCCATATACTCCAAGCAATATCGCTTATAAGAATAAAAGCTGAGCCCTTAATCCAATCCTTGCCACTGCTATTCCCAGAGTCATGATTCCTGTATATGTCTATGAGTGGCTCCTTGAAGATGGCTTTGGTTACATATGGTCCTTTCCATAACGTGAAAATAAGGGAACCACCAATGCACAGAATCGTCCCCGCCACTTTAGCGGCACCCCTTGCAGTTCTAATATTCACCTTCTCCAATCTTTACAAGTACGGAATTGAACATGAGTATTTAAAACTAATTAATTACTATTAATCACTTTATGACTGATTTTAGACGCTTAAAATATTATTTAAATATCATATAGAACAAAAATAAATAAAGAATATATATTTCAATCTTGTACTGTATTTTAGATTAATACCAACATTATTTAGCGACAAACAGAACTAATAGCTTTTTGTGAATTAAATATTAAAAATAAACATATAAAGTTTTATTGTATCTATTTTAATTTTAAACTACCTGAATAGAACAGCCATGACGAAAGTCAAGCTCGGAATGACGTTACTGAAAGCCGAAGCCACCGTCGGCGAAGTATAGCCGATTCCGACGTAGAATAGATTCAGATGAATGGTTGACCCTAAAATTGCGAGTAAAAAGATCTTAATCGCCGTCGAAATCGTTAGAGAAGCGGGTTTGTTTCTGCAAAATTCAAAGAACCAAAGTAAACGATTGTTCCGAGGAACACAAGACGAGTATTTATTAATCGCACCTGTCGATGACATAAGCGAAAGGAGCCAAGAGGAGGAAGGCGATGAAATGGCGATACACGACGAAGACAAAAGGATTAAGATCCTTCTCGCTGGCGATTTTCATGAGAATGTTGGATCCGCCATACCCAATCTGCACCACCACCATAGCTGCACAAGACGCATACAGCTTCGTCATTGGGACTCAGAACCTGCGATCGAATCCCCTGTGCCGCAAATAAATAACCAAAATTCTGTACCCTTCAAATCCACGAAACTTCATCTGTGTTTAGAAAATCAAAAGTCCACTACTTTTGCCGTTTACTCGTTTTCTTATTTTTCTTATTTTTCTTATTTTTATCATTTATATTTGAGTTCAATTGACAAAAGTACCCTCAATATTATAAATTATTTAAATTTGTTTAAATTTTTAAATCTAATTTGAGTTTCTTTAAATCATCTTAGATACAAGTAGTATTATTATATATTAAAAAGTTATAACATAAAATATTTATTCATTTTTAGTTGAAGTACCCATGTAAGTGGTTGGATGTTATAATAAAATTAATTTAATTTATGAAACTAATGGTAAAAGTTATAGACATCTATAGTTCATGAAATAAAGTCACCTTAGTTCTGTTATAATTTTTTTTTAATTACAATTATATTTTTACCATGTTTTCAAGGTTTATGAAGGTTTAAATCCATATTTTTACCGTCATTAGTTGCAAGTATTTATCTAATTTAGGATACATTAAATAGGATGGATTGGTGGTAGTAGTTGTAAAGCAAGTTGAATGGAGAAAAAGTTAACTTTATAATATATAAACATACGAGCAAAGCATTTTATTCCGAATGGGTTGACATAAACCTAATTTATAAATATTGAATAATTTTGAATATTGTCGGAAATTATAGATACAAAATATTGTCTACTTTAAATATAAAATCTCATAAATTCATAAAAAAAAAAAAAAAACATTTACAGAATTAAATTTTATAATAGATAATTATTTATTTAAAAAAACATTGATAATTATTTAGCTTTTATAATTGTTTTCAATTATGTTTTCAAATAATAAATAAAACCAAAAAAATCGGTCCCCATTGAGTAAAAGGAAACCAATAAGTAAATGCCAGGTAAAGTTCCCGTAGATTTGGGTGGGAGTAATTAATATTCACATTAATGAGTCAGCAAATTGGGAGATGACTTGACTTGGACACGACAGATCGTATCACTACGTTGGAAAAACGACTCGAAGTTTTATTTTAATTAATGGTGTGGGACCCGTCCATCACACACCGTTGGATTATATATATATATATATATATATATTTTTTTTTAATTATTATTATTATCATTTAAATTCTTTTATTTTCTCCAATTATGACAAATTTTATTTAGAAAAAAAACCCATTTTTACTACAACTAAAAATGAGAGGAATTAGAAGCGAACTCAATAAGCTATTGAGCATAATGACACATTTTTAAAAATTAAAAGTTTTATGCATCAAATTAACGTGTCATGGTGACTTCTAATGATCAAATGATTAGTTCGTCATCTCTATGATAGTGTGAGTTATTCAAACTTATGAAGAGTTACATATATCAATTTCTTATCACAACGTTCTCGATTAAAGAATTCGATCTCTCCCCACACGATCCTAAATTCGACATGTTTTATTTATTATTAGAAGGTGGGATAGTTGAACTTTGGTCAAGAATTCGATCTCTACCTCATGTCAAGACTCCATAATTTTAGTCAAATTTTCACTTCAATAATTTGAAATTTAATGGTTCAGTGGAGCTCACTTCTCTATCATGGACCAAATTTTCAAAGAATCGGTCAACGGCTACTAACGGTCAAACTACTCCAATAAAACGACGTCGTTTTTCCCATTTTTGTATAAAATGATGGTTTACTGTCACTGACCAAATTTCAAAATAGGAGTCTCACACGTCTTCTACATGTTTATTTATTTACTTAATGAAAAACTATTCATTACAAAGTTTATTTGTAAGGTACATTTTTAAAATATATTATTTGTAAGGAAATATGGGGTTTTCCCTTCCAACATATTTTTTAAAAAATTGATTAAGGATAATTATGAATATAGGATAATTAAAAAATGCTTAAAGAAAATTAAATTTATTATCTATATAAATAATGTGCACATTTCTTTAAATAACGTGTTATGTCGCAGGAGATGCATGAGAATGTCGCGACCATCAAGTCATGAAGTTGGATTCTGAATCCTTACATAGAATTATTTAAGAATATATGTTAGTTATATAAATTCAAATACCCAACTGTTAAGAATGAGATAGAAAATAGAATTGGAAATATATATATTATCATTGATATTGATATCCTTTAAATATGATACAAGAAGTACAAATGAAGAAAATATAAAATAATTAAATACTGAGAATAAAATAAAATATACGGTAAATCAATCATAATAAAGAATATTATGATATAATATTTAAGATATATTCTATAAATAATATATACTCTAGATATTATATCTCAATACCAAGTGAGAGAGTGTATGTCAATCACACTCAACTTGTCTTTAAAAAAATAAAATTGATGTCTTCCCAAAACTTTAGTGAAAATATCTGTCAATTGCATTTTAGTCGAAACATAACACGGTTTGATGATTCCAGCTTGTAATTTTTCTCGAATTATATGACAATCTATTTTAATGTATTTCGTACGTGTGTCCAGATGATTAGATCTTAATCAAGTTAACTCTAAACAAGTATTTGCTTCTCGAACTATATGACAATCTATTTCAATAGTTATTATCATACTGTTGCACTGATTCCATAGTTCAAATTTGATTGAATTTGCATCTTGAGACGGTTCTTCAATTGTGTCATCAATGAAGCCAATTTTATTTTTGGCAATGAGAGCATTCATAACTTATTTACTCTAAGATTGGAACAAGTGAATATCCTGGCTGATCAGAATGGTGAATATAATAAGGATGTGTTGAATCAACATCCGAATTTTTGAAGCTGTATTTGGTTGATTCTGCAATAGAGAAAATTTTGATATTTAAGAATACCAAGATCAAGATCGGTGATTTGATACCATATTAAGAATGAGATAGAAAATAGAATTGAGAAGGTATATATTATCATTGATATTAATATCCTTTAAATAGGATACAAGAAGTATAAATGAGTAAAATATAAAATAATTAAATATTGAGAATAAAATAAAATATACGGTAAATTAAATTAAATCATAAATAAAGAATATTATGATATAATATCTAAAATATATTCTATAAATAATATATACTCTAGATATATATCAATACCAACCGATTAAAGTTTAAGAAAGAAAAAAAAAATTAAACACTTTCACTATCAAAAGTAAATTTAGATTAACATTTTTCAAGTCCCAAATTTCTGTAAAATAAATGGGTAAGAAAAAAATCATTAAATATATTTAAACTAAAATATAACAATTATTTATTATTTATTTTAAATATTAATGAATTTTGAGTTTTTAGAAATTGGATGAAACATTATATTATGTAATGACTCAGGTTCATGATTCAAATAATGATTCGGAATCTAGATTTGGCATTTCATGGCCTCGACATTATCCTGCATCCCGTGCAACATGGTCTTATTATCTACCCCTCGCTCTTTAAAAGTGAATACTATTCCTATAAACCAACATGAGTCCCTTCAGCAACACAAAATTGGTATAAGTAAAACACGCTTGACCATGAATTCTTACGATTGAGCAACTAAAAAGGAAATGTATACCTTATTATACAAAGGAAAGGAATATTAATATAAAACACAAATGACGATGATGTTTGGTAGCCTGTATAACTTAGTCATGGTATTTCTTTTAAATTTAATAGTTTGCCAACAACTTGTGTATTTATATATCAATTTATTTTATTTCTTGTTTTATCGAGGGATGTACACGAATTGAATAAATTAGGAAAAAAAATCATTTGAACCAATTCAAACACAAAAAACCGAACCAAAAACTCCCATGGCCTTCTCCAGCGTGCACTGCCCAGCCCAGTCCCAGCGCGTGCGGCCCAGACCAGTCCCAGCGTGCACGGCCCAGCCTTCCTCAGTGTGGGCGTCACAGCCCAGTAACAGCGTGAGCGGCCCAGCCCATTTCAAGCGTGTTCGACCCAACCCACTCCCACTATTTTGAGCCCAGCCCAACCCATTCCCATTGTACGCGGTCGGGCCCACACCAAGCGTGTGCGGCCCAGCCCACACCCAGTGTGCGCAGCCTAGCCCACTTCCATCGTATTCGGCCCCAGCCCACTCCCAACGTGTGCGGTCCAGCCCACTGCAGCGCGAGAGGCCCAGCCCAGAGACGGCTTGCGCGGCCCAGCCGACTCCCAGCGTGTTCGGCCCAGCCCACTTCCAGCGTGCGCAGCCCAGCCCATTCCCAGCGTGTTCGGACCAGCCCACACCCAGTGTTCGCGGCTGAGCCTACTCCCATCGTGTTCGGCCTAGCCCACTCCCAGCGTGTTAGGCCCAGCTCACTTCCAGCGTTTGCGGCTTAGCCCACTGCTAGCGTGCGCGTTCCAGTTCACTCCCAGCGCGCGCGGCCCAGCCGTCTCCAGCGTGGGTGCCCAGCCCAGTCCCAGCGTGCTCGTGCCAGCCCACTCCAGTGTCAGTACACTCCAATCGTGTACGGTCCAGCCCTGTCCCAGCGTGTTCGGCTCATCCCACTCCAATTGTGCGCGGTCTGGCAAAATCTTATCGTGTGCGGCCTAGCCCACTCCTGCGCGCGAGGCCCAGCCCATACCCAGCGATCGCGGCCTAGCCCACTCCCATCGTGTTCGGCTCAGCCCACTCTAAGCGTGCCCGGACCAGCCCATCCAGCTTTTGCGGCCCAGCATATCCAGTGTGTTTGACCCTTTCCACTCCAACGTGTGTGGCCCAGTCCATCCAGGGTGTCTGACCCAATAATTTCTTTAGAAGTATAAAAATTCAAACCAACAAAAATTCAATAATTTTTTGAAAGTTTAAAAAGTAAACCCATATGTGGATGAATATTCGTAATTTTTATTTTATTCTTAATATTTAATTAGTTATATTTTTCTTATTACATATTAGTGGGTAGCTTGTATCCTATTTAAACATTATGAATATGAATACATACTTTCGATCCCAATTCTACTTCTTATCGATCCAACCAACGGGAACTTTGAGTAAAAAAATGGTAGGTAACAAGAATCAAGATTGTAGACAATGCAGTGGCAAGGATTGGATCAAGGGCTCAGCTTTTATTGGTTCAAGTGAGATGTCTTGGAGTGCATGGCTAATTCTACACGTAAAACTCCATTCTAAATAAGTATAGATAGATTACAAGAACAGTGAAAGAACAAAGTGCTGCCACATGGTGTGTTCTGTAGTTAACTTGCAACGTTTGCAGCTCCAATCCGAGAAATTCTCGTTTCTCTTACACTATCTTTCACTTCATTATCATTTACAGACGTACTCTGCATTTCAGTGTCAACGAACACCTTTTCCTTCTCCTGCTGTTCATCCGCCACCACATGATCTGCCTTCTTCCCCCACAGCACCAAATACAGACCCAATACGATAAAGAAAGCTCCCACCAGGCTTCATAAACGCAACAGTTTCAGGAAACACCTTCAATTCAATACAAACATAGTAGAGGAAGTGAGTGGCTTACCTGCCCACATGAAGCCGCTCTGAGAACACAAATGCTGAGAATATGGCCACAAATATCAGCATTAGGGGGTTAAATATTGAAGTAAAAACTGGCCCATTGTGGCTGATGACCCAGGTTTGTACAAAATACCCCACGGCGGAAATAATAATGCCCTGTACACACATCAGGAATGACCAAGCCTAAGTGATTGCATGCTATGTGTAAGTACGAATAACTCATTAAGTCAGTTATAGTTTGTTTAGAAGTTAGTTGATAGCTTGTATCCTATACACTCACACTGTATACGATGGTTAACAACCGTGCATCCCAGTGCAGCTTCCATTTTTCTGGATCTCTGGCAAAGAACAAGGCAAGGAAGCCAGATTGTGCAGTTGCAAACACGCAAGTTAGAACAGTAATGGTCAATTTAGCTGGGTATTTTCTGGTGACAAATGTCTGCAAGCCATTGAGATTTGATGAGCCTATTTCATTTGGTTCCATAAAAGGAGAGCATATTTGATGGAGTTATTTACCTGTAGAATTAGCCATGCACTCCAAGACATCTCACTTAGAACAATAAAAGCTGAGCCCTTGATCCAATCCTTGCCGCTGCTATTCCCAGAGTCCTGATTCTTGTATATGTTTATGAGCGGCTCCTTGAAGATGGCTTTGGTTAAGTACGGTCCTTTCCAGAACGTGAAAATAAGGGAACCGCCAATGCAGATCACCGTCCCCAACACTTTAGCAGCACCTCTTGCAGTTTTGATATTCACTTTCTCCAATCTTATACATAAGTAATAAAAAAATTTTAAAAAAAAATACTTACATTAATAGTTTACTAAATAAATTAATTATTAACCCTTACTAGTAATGAACTTAGATTTTTATTAAAAAAATAAATATTATTAGGTAAGAGTATGTCACATCCAGAAATGAAATAAATATATTCGATCGAAATCAAAAGTAAGGATTCCCTCAAGAAAATACATTACCTTTACATCAATATTGATATTGTTTAGTGATGGGAGATATTTTAGCTTTTTGTAAAGTTGAAAAGTTCCAATTTCTACGGTTGTGAATTTTAAAATAATTATAATAATAATAATAAATTACAAAACTAATAAAGAAGTACTTTTGAATGATTCATATTTATCCAAAAAAATGAAAAAAAAAAATGGAATTTTAGTACACCCACATTTTAAAAAGTGGGAAAAAGTTTCCCAAGAATTAAAATAAAAAAGAACCAATTTCTATCTTATTTATAAAAAAAATAAAATAATTGGAACACCCAATCTAATTCAATCTGAAAAGATTTTTCTACTCTGTTAAATATGTTAGACGAACACTATTCTCTGAAGGGTATGATATTATCTACTTTGAGCATTAATTCTCATAGCTTTGTTTTGACCTTTCTTAAAAAGGACTCGTACCAACAAAATAATGGTTAGAGTACCTGAACAAAACTGCCATGACAAAAGTGAAGCTGGGAGTGACATTACTGAAAGCGGAAGCCACGGTGGCTGAAGTATACTTAATTCCAAGGTAGAAAAGATTCAAGTAAGTAGTTGACCCTAAAATGGCTAGCAAGAAGATCTTAATGGTCGTGGAAATCGTCAAAGAAGTCTGTTTGTTTCTGCATGATTCAAACCATAATAAACCATGAATCCATGACATAAGCGAAGGAAGAACACAAACGAGTTTTATTATTGCACCTATCGATGACATAAGCGAAAGGAAGCAAGACGAGGAAGGCGATGATATGGCGATACACGAAGAACACGAAAGGATCAAGATCCTTCTCGCTAGCCACTTTCATCAGAATGTTGGATCCGCCATACCCAATTTGCACCGCCACCATTGCAGCACACGACGCATACAGCTTCGCCATTGACACGCCGAAGGTGCTTGCAGTGGTTGCAGTGGTTGCAGTGTTTGCCGATTAGACCCTTTGTCGCAAATAAATAACCAAAATTCTGTGGCCTTCAAAGCTACGAAACTTCACAATGAAAAGTCTAATTCTGCTGCCGTCTACTCCTTTTATTCTCTTATTATTTCTCTCAATTAAAATACCAAAATAAAAAGATTAAACTTTTTAAATCTAATTTGCTTTTTCTTTAAATCTTAGATACAAAGTATTATTATGTATGCAAAAGTTGGTACATAAAATATTGTGATTTTTTATGACATCATCATTAAGAATATTGGTTAAAATATTAAAATTTACTTTTAAACTTTGTAGCATTTTTTATAATATAGAATATTGGTTAAACTAATAAAATTTACTTTTAAACTTTGTAGGGTATTTTTTTATTATAGAATATTGGTTAAACTAATAAAATTTACTTTTTAAACTTTGTAGGGTATTTTTTTATAATAGAATATTGGTTAAACTAATAAAATTTACTTTTAAACCGATAGTTTGTTTAATATTTATCCTTTACCTCTCAAACTTTTTAATAATACACTTAAATTTTTTATGAAAAATTTAAAAATAAGGTTTTGAAAGTTATAAAATATTTTTTAAAAGGTAAGAAATTATTTATTTATTTATTTAAACGGTAAGAATATTTTCTAATGTTCTTTTTATGTACTAATACAAAATTGAAAAAATTTATAGCCCTATTAAACACAAAATTTAGATTTTAAGGATTTATTATCCACTTTCTAAAGTTGAAGAACGTTTAAAAATTTATTAAACATTTTTTAACTTTTGAGATTTGGTTTGATTTGTTCTCGTATAACTTCCAAAATTATAAATTAGTCGAGATCCATTATTAGATATAAGTGTGAAAAGACATAAAATTCAAATTTATATCTAATAATAACTCAATTAACGTGAATCAATTCAAATTAAGAACCTATTAATTAATTTTAAATGATAAACAAAAGTTATGGCAATTCACTAAAATTTGGACCAATTCATTTGAGTGAACGACTTTACACCTTGTACTTGCATGTCTGTATTCAATGGGAGTGGGCGACCATCATGTGAAATCAACTAAACGACGTGTCGTCCGTTTTCAAAATGGAGAAAATTGGAATTCCATTTGGAGTTAATAACTTCTTTTTTTTTCTTTTTTCTTCACCCGAACATAAAAGACAATTTATTACTTTCCTTGAATTCAAATGTTAAATTCCTCTCTTATAGTAAGTTTCCTCCCTTTAGTTTATCTCCCACTGACTCGTTTGGTCGGGATTCAAAACTATTAGAAGTATTTTTAGTTCAAAGATAGATTCTAAACTCAATTTTTTGAATGAATGAAATACCGTCCTTAAACTGTATCTAAAAACATTTGGTCAAAGTAAAACATGTGGCATATGAATGCATTTTTCAACTCTAATAATAGAGCTATTTATCGAGTATTTTAAATATTCATAAACAGCGACACTAAATCGTTTTTCGTATTTACGTTATAATACATTTATTGGAAATACCATTTTTATGTGTGATATATATATTTTTTATTACAATTATGTTTTTAACATGAATATTTTTAAATAGTTTTTTTTTTTTTTTTTTTTTTGAAAAAGGTAAGGTGGGTACACTCTTTCTGGTTTGACGTCACTATGTTTTAATTTTATTAATGGTGTGGGACCCGCTGACCGCACACATTTGGACGAAATTTTTTGAAAGATACTGAATCAGCTCCGTTTTCAAATTTGGCTGTCACGTGATTTTCTAGAGTTATGAAAAATCTATTTATTTTTTAGTTAAAATATGGTTTCCTTCAATAATATTCTTCGCTGGAATTTATAAAAAAAAAAAAAAAAAACATTATTTATTTTGTGGTTGAAGCGGTAGAGATTCATTAAATAAATATATTTCACATTACTTGACTAAAAAGTTGGCGAAAGAAAACAAATTTCTACTCAAAGTATTTATGACATTAAAGATATATAATGATTTTGGTGGTTAAATTCAAAATCTGGAAACAAAAATAAACTTTAAAAAAAAAATAGTTTGGAGTAATTAGAAGAAAAGAAAATTAAGTTGACATAATTTACAATAATCGATAATATTTTTTTTAAAAAAAATACTCTTATTATTAAAAAAAGTTTAAAGTTGTTATTATTTAATATATGAACTAAATATATTGTCTCCAAACTTAATGTAAATAAGTTATTTATATGTTATTGAATCAAATATAAATAAATATTTTTGAAACGTGGTATTAATAATTTCGTTCATATATTGATTGTAGGAGTATTTTTATTAATATGTTATTGAATAACTTTTATTACTAAAGATCATATTGTTTAATAGGAATTTCATCCATTTAATAACTTGCTTATTTAAGATGGTATGAATTATCCAATTTATGATGAGCTACAAAATGTCAATTTCTTACTCAACATTCTCGACTATAGAATTCGATCTCTTTGTCACGATCTCATTAATTGAACTTATGCCACTTAATTCAAATTGAAATTTATGAAGTAAAAACAAAATTCACACAAAGTTACGTATTTTCTTTGAAATGTGTGATAGTTTATCGAACATAATATATTAATCCGTGTTTTCTTATATTAAATAGATAAAAAAAAAATCTTTTTAAATTAACGTTTTAGAGATCTCAAATTTAACGAGGAGCACGTTGGAGAGTATGAACGCGCTTACAAACATCATTCACGTCTCTACACCATAAGTCATTGGTCAAAACTCCATAATGTTTGTCAAATGGCCGCTTCAATAGTTTGAAATTTAACGGTTGAGTGGAGTTCACTTCTCTCTCTATCATGAATCAAATCTTCACAGAGTTGGTCAACGGGCAGTTACGGTCAAACAACTCCATCGAAACGTCGTCGTTCTCCCATTCCATTATGTTTATTTGTTGTGGCTGCCTGCCACCTTACTAAAATTCAAATAAAAGTTTCGCACGTCTTTTACTATATTTATTGTTTAATTCCCTCAATATTATTATTTAATAAATATATTAAAAAATATAATTTGTAATAATAAATATAAAACAAAAACATAGCAGTTTAATTCAAATAATAGATATATAAAAGAAATGAAAATATAATAAAGTCCAAAAATGAGACATGAGTCGGTCATCACTTCCATCTCTTCACATTCAAAATGTCCCAAGAAATTATTTTATTTTTTGAAAAGTAAATTTGTATTAAAATATATTCTAAACACACTACTTTAAATTTTTATTGAAGTAGTAATGTTTTCAACAATTTCAATTATATCATAGACATGTTTGGAATATTTTCTGCTTTAAATAGTTTTTTTAATTAAAATGTTTTTATATCTTAAATTATGTTTCAAATATAGATTTTTTTTTTCTTTAGGAATTATATTAATTATAAAATACGTGTTTTCCTTACAAAATATTTTTTAAAAATTTAGACAATCTATCTCAAATAGCTTTTTAAAAATAATTCAAGTTTTGTTAGTGTTTTTATGTATTAATAATTTTTAAAAAAAAAACATTTCGAGAATTTACAGTTTAAATCTATTAAAATTTTTAAAGATGCTTAAGAAATTATTTTATTTTTTGAAAAGTAAATTTGTATTAAAAATTTATTCTAAACACACTATTATTAATAAACACCTACGTGGCGAAAAGGATAAATAAATTAAAATACCCAACAAATTGGAGTTTTAAATAGAACCAAGAAATCAAATACTTTCCGTGTCAGAAAGAAATTTCATTCAATATTTTACTAAGCCTCAAGTTTTGGTTAAAAAAAAAAACATAAAACAAATGTCCCCAAATTTGAAAACCAACTTTTTTTTTTTTTTTTTTTTAATTTCTTCTAGAAAAAAATTGTATTAAAATTTTTTAAATAATATAATTTATTAGACACAAAATTGAAAAATGTTTTTTATTTAATTTTTTTTTAGTATTAAACAATTATTCTTGCGTGTTATTTTTGAAAATGTTGGTTGATGAATTAGTTAAACTTCGAATACATTCACGTGTCTAAATATATTAATAAAAATAAAATTCTAAAAACATTAAGCCGTAGTTGGTAGATATAGGATCACTCCCTATTTTGACGAGATAATCAACAACTACTCTTTAGTAGTGCATTATCTAGATTACCACGATCTATATAAGTACTTATGTTGGTCGTTATGGGGTTGCGTCCTATAAGATATGAATCACATACGACGTTACTTCTTGCATGTTCATGATAAAGTTCCTAATTCGGATTCGAATTCTGAACATGAATCGTTACAAAATGATATCAACACTTTTTTTTTTAATTAACCAACTTACCTTTCTTCATCATCAACATCATAAGTTGGGCATATCGTAGAGAGTTGAAATTGGGCATTAATAAACACATTGCTCGATACCAACAACCAATATGCCTGCAACATGGAATCAATTCAAACACAAAAAAACAGTACTCTCCTCCTCAGATTACAGTTTCCCAAAAGGCCCATCTCCATTTTCTTTGTCCTCATTCCATTCACTCACAATTATAAACCAAATTAAAGCTCCACATTTGAGGCCCCCCCATGGCCATGAGAACCTGCACAAAGAAGCCATCATCAAGAGGCCACCATCGCTATGTAGGCGTTCGCCAGAGGCCCTCCGGCAGATGGGTCTCTGAGATCAAGGACTCCCTGCACAAGGTCAGGCTATGGCTTGGGACTTTCGACACCGCCGAGGACGCAGCTCGGGCTTATGACGATGCGGCACGAGCTCTCCGTGGCTCCAATGCTCGCACCAACTTCGCCTACTTGCCTCCAACCTCTTCTGAGTCAAGTATAGGTAAATAACAAATTCTTTTGAACTTCGATCTTATATAAAGGAAAACAATAAATGAAAATATATTAATTTAGTGGATGCAGGCGATGCTAGCCAGCCCATGGAGCCACCCTTTTCTTTCGAGGAGGGTTGCATGGAAAAAGACGACGGTCTCCTGGGGGCCCTAAGGGCGAAGCTGTTCGACGGCAAGGGGCGTCGGGTGCTGCAGGCTGTGGCTCAAACATCTTGCAGCTTTGAAGACGTATTTTGTAGTTTAAATGGT